GGTGAGGGGGGGTGTGAGACGGTGCGCCCTCGGCGCTATATTTCCGAGGCGCGCATAAATTTTAGCCGCGCGGATGGAGAAAGGTACCCGGGGGGGGGGGGGGGGGGGGGGAGAATAAGGAAATGACACCTGGCCTGTACTTCAATATGCTAACCAAAGAATGTTTCATTACATACTAACACTTAAAATTAGCACTGAACATAGCCTTCAACTTACAGTGTTTCAACTTAACAATGGTGCAACAGCAACACATGTTCAGTAAAAACCATGCTTTAAATTTTTAATTTAAAGGCTTTTTCCAGTGTGTGGTGCAATTTCCTCTCATGGTGCTGGGCAACAACAGCTAGCCACACATTCCAGGCAATGCCACCATCAGAAGGGAAACAATGAACACTTTAGGAAGATAGGTGCAATCAACTCATGAGTGAGTTTACCAAGGAGCATCTGCAAGTCTTTAATATCAAGTAATAATTTAGTACTGTTACAACTGTTCAAAAGAATAAAACAAAAATCTTCCACAGTTGCTTTATCCAAAGCCAAACAATGTCCATATGTCCCCAATGAGAGTAAAGTTGTCTAAGGCCCTTTAGTCTAGACCAGTCCTATTGCCATCTCCCTAGTGCCTTGAAGAAAGAAGTCTGATTCTACTTGTGATTTCCTCCTAGTAACATTTATTGTGTTTCCCTCATGCTTATATTCCTGACCTGAGGTCCTGTGTAATCAGGGGGCCCACAGAGGGCATCTGTTCTCCCTGACTACCCGATGACACATGCCAATCATTTCAGTGCACAGTGGATCCCTTAATTATGCACTGTACGAAAGGAACGCAGCAATCTTTTTTGGGGGGTCTTTTTGAGACAGGGTCTCCCTGTAGCCCCAGCTGTCCTGGAACTCACTATGTAGACCAGGCTGGCCTCTGCCTCCCAAGTGCAGGGTTTAAAGGTGTGTGCCACCACGCCTGGCCTGAAAACAGCAATCTTAAAACAACTCTGTAGTCAGCAAGACTGTATACAATTGGTGAGTGGGAACTCACACCCAATCAAACAGGAACAAACTAGGTTGGCAAAGAGGGCTTGGAGAAGTGGGGTGAAGAGTGGCACCTCTGCTCCTTCCATTATGAACTGTAAATCCATCATTAGTCTAAGCCTTCAAGTTAGGGCCTGACATAGCTCTGTCATGTTCATTGTACAGGCAGCAAATGGGAAGGCCTATTAGGGTAACCATGGGACTAGAGCAGTTTCTGACCTTGAACTACCTGGAGTGGACTCAGTTGTTATGCCTCTGCAACCGTTGTGAAAACCAGAAGCCGTCCCAGAGCACCCAATCCAGTAGTCCGTGGGACCAATGTCTACCACAAAGTCTACTTTCTTCTGTTCTCAGCAAAGATAGACAGAGCAATATATCAGCAAGATTAATTCTAAATTCTTTGTATTAAAATCTTACACTAAATAGATGGGTCTAGAAGAATGTGTATTAGTAACACTCTTATTCTCCTCTATACAACTTGGCATCCTTTATTTACTTTGTGCCCAAACACTATTTTTTTAAATACTTTATTTATTATTTTTATTTTATGTGTATGAGTATTATGCCTGCATGTAGGTAAGTGCACCCATGTCGTGCAATGCCCATGGAGGACAGAAGAGGCTGTCAGATCCTCTGGAACTGGAGTTATGGACAGTTGTTAGCTGCCACATGGGTTCTGGGATTCGAACCCGGGTCTTCTGCAAGAATAATCAGTGTTCTTAACTGCTGAGGCATCTCTCCAACCCCCCCTGCCCCCCCCCCACTATTTTTTAAAGTGAGCAGAAAGGTGGTTTACTCCACAGTTCTCAGCCCAGGACAGGAAGCAAGTACGCTGGGGTCCCAGAAGGAAGGCCCCCAGGACTGTGAGGGCGGCAAAAGGATGTGGAGTCACAGGGGAAGGGAAAAGCTGCAAGAGCAGGAGGCAGGCCTGCCTCTTACATGTAGTGGTTCTTCATACACTGCCTCCCTCTGAGGTCTGTGCCCGCCTACACCCACCCTCTCAAGTGCCGTTATTGCTGGCACGGCACACTACCACCATGTAGCCACAGGGCCTCTTGGCAATGTACCTCCAGCTCTATACATGTCACACACCCAGCTCAGCACACCCTATACCCTACTTCAAGCTTTCAGAGGAAGGTGTGCATTGGCTTCATCCAGAGGCCTGAGAACTTGCTTTTGTGGGGTGTGGGCTGGACAAGAAAACAAACAGGCAGCATGTCTACAAGGAGTTGGCCCCTCCTCTCTCAGGGCAGTGAAGTCAACTGAGCAAAGCCATTCCCAGCCCCAAGTTTCACTCATCCTGGCGTCCTCTGGGGGGGGGGGGGGGGGGGGGGGCGGGGGAGCTACACAGCTTTAGCAAGACAAGGCCATCCACCCAGGTAGCCTAGCTAGGAGTCCCTGGGGTGCCTAGCAACTTCCTCTTTGAAACCTCCTAAAGCCAGTCAAGCCAATATGGTGGCATATAATTCTAGTACCACAAAAGTTGGGGCTGGCAACTAGTCCAGCCTTGGAAGACGAAAGAAAAATGAGGAAGAACCCAACAGAGGGCCGATAGAGGGATGTCTTTGGAAGCCCTTGTCAAGAAATTCCAATGGACTCTCATAGGAACATTTGAAAATTGCCTTATTCTGACTTTTTTCTAGTTCCCTGTCTAGAACTTGTAATACTAATTATCTTGCCTTTACTTCTCCTTCACATCTCCCATTCATGATTCAAGGACTTTCGTCTTCCCTTAGAGACAAGTGTTATACAATTTGGGAATCT